CTAAAGGTTTGGTCATGACGTCAGCAATCTGATCAGTTGAGCGCACATAGCTCAAGTTAATTGTGCCATCTTCAACCTTTTCTTTGATGAAGTGTCGATCAATGTCAACATGCTTTGTTCGGTCATGATACACAGGATTCTTGGTCATTTCAATGCTGGCTTGGTTGTCACACCAGAGGTTCATAGGTCCTTCATAGGAAATTCTCAATTCCTTCAGAAGTCTGATCACCCACATTCCTTCACATACCCCCAGGGCTACAGCTCTTAGCTCAGCTTCAGCACTACTCCTTGAGACTACTGTCTGTTTCTTGCTTCGCCAAGTGACTAGGTTTCCCCAAACATAAGTGCAGTATCCTGTGACAGATCTTCTGTTATCCACAGCTCTCCCATGATCTGCATCAGTGTAGACCTCTATGTTCCTTGTACTCCCCTTTTTAAAGAATATTTCTCTTCCAGGATTGAGTTTGAGGTAGGTCAGGATTCTGTATACTGCTTCCATATGTTCTTCCTGGGGTTGATGCATAAATTGGCTTACTACTCCAACAGCATAGCTAATGTCAGGCCTTGTATGAGTCAAGTAGATCAGTTTACCTACAAGTCTTCTGTACCTTTCTGAGTTGACTGGTACCCCGTCTGGTTTCACTTCCAGATTACATGATTCTTCCATAGGCGTCTCACTAGGTTTAGCCCCAAGTATTCCTGTTTCGTGGAGCAAATCAAGTGTGTACTTTCGTTGAGACACACTTATACCCTTTTTGGATCTTGCAACCTCCATTCCAAGAAAGTACTTCATTTGTCCTAGGTCCTTCACTTGGAATTCCCTAGCTAGAGCTTTCTTGAGTTGGGAGATAGAAACTTCATCACTGCCAGTTATGACTATATCATCCACATACACAATTAGGATCGTTACCTTTCCATTACTGTGTTTAACGAAGAGAGTGTGATCAGCTTGTCCTTGGACGTAGCCAAACCTTTTGATTGCCTTGGCAAACCTATCGAACCACGCTCGTGGAGACTGTTTCAGGCCATATAGTGATTTCTTCAGTTTGCAAACTGAGTTGGGTGGAGCTATTACTCCATCTGGGATTTCCATGTACACTTCCTCCTCCAAATCTCCATTTAGGAAAGCATTCTTCACATCTAGTTGATGTAGAGACCAATCAAGGTTAGCAGCTAGAGACAGGAGTACCTGGATGGTGTTGAACTTTGCCACAGGAGCAAACGTTTCCTGATAATCAATCCCATAAGTCTGGGTGTACCCTTTTGCAACTAATCTTCCTTTGTACTTGTTGATACTTCCATCAGGATTGAATTTAGGGGTGAAGATCCACCTGCAACCCACTGCTTTCTTGCCCTTAGGAAGTGTGGTAATATCCCACGTGTTATTTTCCTTTAAGGCTCTCAACTCCTCATATGCGGCACGTTTCCAATTAAGATCTTTCATAGCCTGTTGAAATGTTTCTGGAATCTTCACCTGTGAGCTATTCACCACAAAGGTTTGCATTCTAGCAGATAAATTGCCATAGGAGACAAATTTTTGAATAGGATGCTGAGTACATGATCTTACCCCCTTTCTAAGTGCAATGGGCCATCCTAGCTCTTCAGGATCCAACTCTGGATTGGAATCATGTTGCTGCCTTGGAATGGAAGGAACCCTACTACTACTATCCTGCTCACCTGATTGAGGACTTGAACGCTCTGTCACCCCTGCATCAATTTCAGCATTCGTTTCCATTGTGGGGTTTTGGTGCTCTAGTGGAGGTGTAGGACTAGGGGTTTTTGGTTCCGGTTCAGGGTCAGGGACAATGATTTCTTCTTGTGGTATGGCAGGTTCAAGAGGGGTGGTAAGATGTGTGTTGGGATTGGTTGTAGGTTCAGGTGTAATTAGCCATTCTACTCCATAGTGCTCCCCCTGAATGGGTAATTTGGGATAATAAGCATCATCCTCATAAAAAACTGTGTCTTTGGAGATTATGAGTTTTCTGGTAGTGGGACAATAACACTTATATCCCTTTTTGGTGGAGGAATACCCTAGGAAAATACATTTTTCTGCTCTAGCATCAAGTTTGCCCCCATCATGTTTATGAACAAAGACGACACACCCAAAGACCTTTTGAGGGATGGTATTGATGATAGGTGAGGTGGGGTAGGTCTCGAGGAGTTTTTGAATGGGGGTAGTGAAATGGAGAATTTTTGAGGTCATTCGATTGATGAGATAAGCAGCGGTTAGCACAGCATCTCCCCAAAACAGACTTGGAACATTTCTTTCCATCATAATAGCTCGGGTTACTTCTAGAAGATGCCTATTTTTCCGCTCAGCAACTCCATTTTGTTGAGGAGTATAGACACATGAGGTTTGGTGATGGATTCCTTCCTGCTCAAGAAATTCCCTAAAGGCTCCACTCACATACTCTTTGGCATTGTCACTTCTTAGAACTTTGATGGGAGTTTGGAATTGGGTTCTCACAAAAGAGTGAAAGTTTTTGAAAATTTGTAAAGCTTCGGATTTTTCTTTCATAAGGTAAACCCATGTGACCCGGGTGTGATCATCGATGAATGTAATAAACCACTTTGTGCCTGTTCGGGTGTTGATTTTGGCTGGTCCCCAAATGTCAGTATGAATCAATGTAAACGGGGCAGTAGGTTTGTAAGTATGTTTGGGATAAGAGGCGCGAGTTTGTTTGGCAATTTGACACGTTTCACATTGGAAAGGAAAAGAATTTTTATTGAATAAAGTTGGAAACACATGCTTCATATAATCAAAGCTGGGGTGGCCTAATCTTTGATGCCACAACATTACATTTTTATTCTGAGAATTAGAGCTAACCATAGCTTTCTTGGCTCCTGCAGTCTTCATATCTTTTCCTTCAAAGTAGTAGAGTCCATCCCATTCTTTAGCAGTCAAAATCTTCCTCCCCGAGGTCGAATCCTGAAAAACACACTTAACATCATCAAAGATTACCCGACATACTTGTCCTTTAGTCAATTTGCTCACAGATATAAGGTTGCAGGTAAGAGCAGGAACAAACAAAACATTATGGATTTCCAGATCATCAGATAGGGCCACAATGCCAACACCCTCAACTTTAGTATATAGTCCAGTTGCTACTTTTACCCTAAGGTTCTCATGGCAATATTTGAGAGTTTTGAAGAGGGACTTATTACCAGTCATGTGGTCTGTAGCACCGGAGTCAACAATCCAGGTTTCATCACTAGTTACCATTGCATTAAGGGCTATAATAGAATTACCTGACTGAATCAAGTTCACGTTGGGAACTGATTTTGATTTGTTTTGTTTTTCAAGTATCTTACGAAGCATTTGAAGCTCTTCTCTGGTCAACTGGTCTCCCTCATCACCTTTTTCTTCAGAGGAGGTGTGGTGGCTTTTTCTATCTTCCCGTTGTTTCTGCTTCCCTTGGGTTGGTTTCCCATGTAGTTTCCAACATTCGTCTCTGGTGTGGCCTTTCTTGTTACAGTGATTGCACCACTTGTTCCCTTTCTTCTCAGATCCCTCGAATGTTGGGGACCTCCTCATGACTAATGCTGAGCCATCTACTGGGGTTTGGTTACCCTGAGTGAGGTGTCTCCGGCTTTCTTCAAACTTGACCATACTGAAGACTTCAAATAGGGAGGGAAGCGGTTTTAGACCCATAATTCTGCCTCTTACTTCTTCAAAGACATCATTCAAACCCAATAGGAAGTCATAGGTTCGTCCTTTTTCCACCAGTTGTCTGTAGTAATTAGCATCATCCATGTCCTTCCAAGGATGAACTTCAAAGAGATCCAACTGCTGCCATATCTTCGTTAAAGTGCTGTAATATTGTGTTACAGTTAAGTTTCCTTGCTTCAGATCTTTGAGCTGCCTCCTTAGATCCAATAGGGCTGCAGTGTTGTCTAGTGTGGAGTAAGTCCTCTTAGCAGCGTCCCAGATTTCCTTAGCTGTGCTTGCCAAGAGGTATCCTTCACTGATTTCAAGAGTCATTGAGTTGCACAGCCAAGACATCACCTGATTATTTTCAGCAAACCAGGTGTCAAATTTGGGATCATTATGTGAAGGTTGTTTTGCCTCTCCATTGATATATTTCTCCTTACGCTTCCCACGTAGATACATTAATACACTTTGAGACCATTGGAGATAGTTGCTACCATTAAGTTTGTGAGCCACCACCATAGCTTGATGTTCAGAGGTTAGGGATGGTTCTGGATCAGAGGCTTGAGAGGTGACTAAAGGTGAAGAAGGAGTGCTTTGAGTATTTGAGGATGTACCGGACATAAGGGCCATTGGAATATTACGAACGGACCCAAAAAGGGGTGGGAATTCTGAAGGGTTCATTTTCTGGATCTCTGGGAGGCACTGTTGATTTCCGGCGGCGGCGCGTGCAATTCACGCGCAGAGGCAGTGGCGGCGCGTGGGCTTCACGCGCGGAGCTTGTGACGGCGCGTGGGCTTCACGCGCAGCTCCGTTGGCGTCGTCTTCAAGGGATGCGCCGATCTGAGGGCGCCGGTGAGGACTGGAGGGGCGGTGTCGTCCACGGTCTGCTCCTGGCTTCAGATCTGGGACGCCTCACTCTCTCTCTCTCTCTCCTCGCGTTCTCTCTCTCTCTCTCTCACGGCAGCGACGCACGAAGTTTTCTGGGTTCAGGAGGAACCCTATGCTCTGATACCATGTTTACTTTGCTGAATATTTCATGCTCATATTTATTCCATATGATTGGGTTACAATATATAGAGTCCGGATGAGAAATAATATCCGGTTACAATCAATCAGCCATAAATTACATATATTGCAATATCTCAATAAATCAGGAAATATATCTTCTAGCTAATATCATGGGCAATAAATGGAGAGAATCAAGGGAGAGAATCAGGGGCTTTCTAACAGGCCTGCAAATTTAGGAGTTCCAGTGTTGGCAGCATCTTTTCTCTCACTTGCTTTGCTTCTTCCTCATCTTTGCTTTCAGAGTGCAGTGCGAGTACTTTAAGGTTTTAATTTTATACCTCTGATTTTTTTTTTTTTTAAATCTATATCGATTTTGGAATGTTGAATTATTGGTTCTGGAATGTGTTTTGCACAATACATTGTATGACACTTCTTTAGATGATATTGAATATGTGTATTCTGATGACTTTGAATTGCGTTTACTTTGAAGGATACTATATTTCTGTCGCAGCTTCTGATTTATTTTATTCAAGTATGATGAAACTTTGGTGGTTTGATGCTTTATCTTGGATTTACATAAATAATCGTAATAGGAATTATCCTTCATCTGTTCTTAAAAATTTTCGTACCTTTGGTTTTAATAAGCAAAGTCCACAATACTGTTAGCTCTCCTCCTCTTCCTGTGCACGGTGCTTAATCATCGATCACAAATCACACCCTCTCCTTGTCTTCCTTGTTGCCACTATACTTCAGGTTTCTCTTCTTTTCTTCTTCTTCTTCTTCTTCTTCTTCTTGTTTTTTTCGGTGGTTGCGGCATTCTGAATCTTTGTAATTTGAAAGCTGTCTCGTGTGTTTAAAACTTGAAAGAGATATGGTTGCTGAGTGGAAACTTGAAAGCTGTCTCATGTGCATGTGGTGTGCCCGTCAACCAGATTGAAGTAACTGTTTTGACTTCTGAGTTTCTGAGTGAAGTTACTATGATGAAATTTGAAGATGGAAGAAGACAAGGAAATTCAAGAAGTAGATTGTTTAGTGATTCTTGAAGTGGCTTATCTATTTGCAAATCTTCTAAGTGTAGTTTGTTTGAAGATTAAAGTAATGGGACCATCAAATGTGATTAATCAATCCCTGTTTTGAGTTTGCTGGAATATTAAGAAAGGTCTTGTGGATAATTAGAGCATATAAAAAGCAGCCTAGTTTGCATAAGCCCAGCATGGGAATTATGATAGATATTCAAGTGGATATTGGGAGTTTTTCATCCTATAATGGGTGGGTTACTTTTCAATTTGTATGTGAATGCATTTAACTGTCACGTTTTCTTATTTGCTAATAGCTTATTTCAATGCCACCATTATTTGTTAATGAGGAACTTTCTCTTCTTATTTCTTACTTTCGAATATATTTATTGTTCCTTTGGTATATTCGAATGTAATTTGACGTAGCAGAACTTTAAATTCAAAGTTGATCAACCTAAAACAGGTAAGTAAAGGTCTATCTAGGACTATTCTAGAAGGGAAACATATTAGACTTTACCTTGTTAAAAAGATGTCCTAAATCATAGATAATCAAATCAATCTTATCTTTGATGACTCCCCCCCCCCCCCAAAAAAAAACCAAAAAAACAAAAAAAGAGGTTTGAAAGAAGAGAGGATTGCATAGCAGGAGGAATTGAGCAATGTTTTTTTAATCTTGTTCTAACACTTATTTTTCAAAGTATCTGTATGTACTGTTCAAATTTTAATAAATCTCACTACACCTGTATTTAAGAGTTTTAGGAAGTTGCTGTCTGTATATCGTAGTTTTAAACTCAATACACTTACATGAATCAGGTGTATTCTAAGTTCCTCTTAGTGTTTTTTAATGGAACAGTGAATTGGTGAAATCAGAAATCTGCTTCTTGAGATTAAAAAATGCCACTAGAACTTTATCTCTATTGTTGTTTGCTTATTTCTGTCCTTTTTCCTTTGTTACGAATGGTGATGAGTATCTATTGTAAAAGCACTATCTATTCAGAAACTTATTTCTTGTATTATGTAAAGCACCGTACACAGAAACTTATGGCTGAGTTTTTAATTTTATGTCTTTTTCTCTGAGGAAGTTAATATTCTGAACACAAAGGTGACTTTTTCCTTGGTAGACTATTGAGGTACAGATACACCACATCAGATCAGGATTTCAATCAATACTTGTTTTTTCCTTTTGCTAATACATTTTTTCGCATAATTTAGCTTCTAGATCTGAGTTCTGATGATTTGTGCTGTTACATTGAGATATCAGCTGTGGGCTTTTGCTGGAATTTTTTTCTTACATTGAGAGCAATCTATATTGCTGTAAATTTGAAATAGTGATACATGAAGGATTTTGGTAGTATGAATTGCCTTCTGTTTATAATTTTCTTTTATTACTTAGTGTAGATAATCTTAATTAACAAGTCCCCTGTAAACTTTATAGGTTTTCATTGATTTGTTGGAAGCGTACAGCATATGCAATAGGGTAGAAGAGCAGCTTAACTTGCATATTAGTCATGGTGGAAGTGTGGTGGACTCTGCTGGGGGCTGCAATCCCGGCTGTCATTGCAGGACAAGCTTTTAGATTGAAGAAAAGGCATGCTGAAGAGCAGAGGTTGAGAAGTGCAAGGGGAAGGGAGAAGAGTTCTGACGATATCTTCGTTTGTGAGCGGGTCTGTACGTCAAAGAGGATGCTGAACAAGGTCGGCTCATTCTCAAAAGACCCCATTCCTGATACTTGTGTCACTGTCTGTGGTGTCTCTGAGCTTGATGCTTGTGCTGATGCCTGTGCTCGTACTGTGTGTGTTAACCAGCATCAAGTACCTAATTGGAATGACATATGCCTTCGGAGGTGTCAGAGCGAATGCCTGAAACTATCTGAGTCTCATTCTTCTTAGGAGGTTTTCACTTGTATGCAGATAATTATGTTGTGATATTCTGATTTGAGATCCATGTTTGGGTATGGCTATTAATGTCTTTTGGCTGCCATGGTACCTCCAAATTTAGCAGCATTGCTAAATACTTGTAGACGGCATCATTCAATTTCTAGTGCATAATCAATCAGGTTCAAAACCACTTGCCATTCGCTTACAAGAGGTCATAGTCTTTATTTGTTTCTCTTCTTGCCTTGTTGCCTGAATATTAAGATTTATATTTCTTTATGGTCAGCTTGTAGGGCCCAGCGTAATCTAAACACTGTTGGGGAGAGTCGACTGTTAAGAGACCAATTCAAACTAGTGTTAGAAAAAGGAAGCATGTTGGACTAATAGGATGAGAAAAACTTATATCCTTTTGTGATTTCCTGTGGCTTGGCTGTTTTTCTTTTCACGGATTCCTCCTCTTCGATCTCTCCAAAAGCTCTAGGGCTTGTTTGGTTTCTGGATTCGGAAACATTTTTTTGTTTTTAAAAACAAAAAAAACATAGGGCTCATTTGTTTCTGTTTTTGTTTTCTTATTCCCAAAACAATTTTATAAAATTGTTTTTAAAACAAGTTTTGAGAATAAAAAAATAAAAAAATATGTTTGGATAATTATTTTGAAAAATCACATTTGAAAGAAAATATAAAAAATTAAATTTGGGAAGCACTGGACATTGCCAGCGATATGTGATCGGTGGCGGCAAGTGGGGAGAGAAGGTTTTTTCGATTTTTCAGAATAAAAAATAAAAAGTTAAGAAAACAGAGGTAAAAAAACATCTAAAAATTATTTCGCTTTTTTAAATTTTAAAAACATATAACTAATTTGTTTTTCAAAAACAACTAACTAAAAACAAATTACCAATCAAGTTTTTTATTTCTTTTTTAAAAACAAAGAAATGTTTTTAAAATAAGAAACCAATCAAGGCCATAAAAACTAGTTTGATAATTTGTTTTTAGTTGGTTATTTTGAAAAAATAATAATACGTTTTTAAAAACTAAAAAAACCAAAACAAATTTTAGATGATGTTTTGTTTTTGTTTTTTTGCATGTTTTATTTTTTTGTTTTGAAAAATTAGAAAAATCTTCTTATCATCTTACCCGGTTAAAAATTAAAAAAATTTTTGCTCCCTGTTACCTGTTATCGTCCTTTTTGTTTCAGGTATGATTTTTTTAAAAATAATTACCCAAATAATTTTTTTATTTGTAAAACTTGTTTTAAAAAATAATTTTACAAAATTGCAAAAAACAGAAACAGACAAGCTCTTAATATGAAAACTCAATTTTTGCGTAGAAGCCCTAATTCCTTTCATTCTTTTCTGTGCCCCCCTCCCATGCTCTCACTTGTCGGTCCTGACCTCTATAGTTTAAATTTAATAAATCTATGAGATAACATGTTTTAAAGTAGAGAGAATCCTCAAAAAAATACCTCTAAAATTTCAAAATCCTAAATTAGGAATGACTATAAAAATATGTTGTCATTTGTTTTTCAAATATTATCAATTATTATTAAAGTTTAGTGAATAAGACTGATTTGGAATTTTAAAATTTAAAGGTATTTTTTTGAGATTGTCCTTTTAAAATATTGGAACACTTTGTTTTGGTTGCTCCTGGTATTATCTCATCTAAACAGTAAGAGACTAATCTTTCAAAGTACTGTAAGGCGCCATAGTGTAGACCCTTTTTAACAATGTTTTTCTCCATGCACACTGCCTTAAGAATCGAATGTGGAAAATGAAGCTTAAGGTGTCTAGATCCTTTCACTTGGACAAATACTTGTTGGTGATATGAGATCACTTAGATCTTAAGAGAGATGTTATTTATTTGGGATATCTCAGGATAAATATTGAATATTAGCATGTTATTACTTCTTTAGTTTATTCTTGTGAGATAACTCGTTGATATATTGAAGTATTGAACTTTAGTATTCTCTTAATTTTTTAATCTCTTGAATTTTCTAAAGGATAATCCCAAAAATATTATCAATATAGAGATTTAACTCCTCCCAATCTATAGAGAATAAATATGCAAAGATATTTCCTTTAATTTTCACTTAAAATCTCAAGCAGGATATCCCGTAACAATATTTGAACATCTATTTATTATTATTTTGGATTATTTTTTTGATATCTTTTCTATTATTTTTTAAAATCTCAATCATGAGTATTTTTAATGTATTCTGCAAGTTACCATACAAAGTTAAGGCAATTGATTCATTTTTCTTCACAAACTTGTATAAGAATTTCTCTGTTTTTTTCCCCAGTGGATTGGCAAAAACAAGTGCACTCGAGATTGAAACAAGACTGGAATTTCAACAAATTCTGACCATATCTCCTAACACAGATGCATAAAGATTCAACATATTTCATCTGCTCTGGACCACCAAATTGTAAATACAAAACAATCATAATCCCCTAACTATGCTGTCCTTTCTCATGTGTACATACATACATCTACAAATCCTACCTGAAAATAAACCAAATATTGACTGAAGCAGCCTCCAACCTTCACTTTCAGAACATGACCCACGGAAACTGCTGTGCAAAATGTCATCCACCAAGACACATCGCTCTTTGGTCCAGAGATATTTACTGATCAAGTAAACTGTCTTCTAATGTATGTGTCTTCATGTACAAATACTGGTTCTTGACTGGTCTGGGTTGGTGGGAACTGTGGTTGTCCCATGGCTATTCCTCCTTGATTTGGCATCGACGTACCATCCCCGGCAATCTTTCCTGTGCTTAGGGTGATGTAGTAAACAATTCCAAATGCTGCGCTTGCAAGGGCTAGGAGTGAACCTCCGGCAAAAACTCCAGGTTTCACCACATAGCAGTAGTAATTGCCAAAGTATATGCTCTCATCACCATGTTGATCATTAAGAGCAGCACCAGTTAGTAGCAGGAGAAACCCAATGACAAATGTGAACCTGTTTCACATTTAAACCACAATGTTAGCTGAGCACTGCTTTCCTCTCCTTTTTATCTTTTCTCTGTCCCTCATACCAAACAAGGCCTTAGAGGAGAAAATAAAACGAAGCCTGCACAGCTATGGTCATTGGCATACATGAAATTCTTGTAACCACAGTTCAAGAAGAAACCAAGCACAAATATTCTATTCACAAGGCCTTAGCCTTATACAGAAATCAAAATACATGTTTTACAGGTTTAAAAAATTTCAACGCGCTTACAAGTCTAGAAAGAAGCAAGACAATAAAACAAATGATGTGATTAACTTGTGCAGCTTGTGAATAAGCTTTGTACCAAATCTTTTGTAATTATGTAAAAGTCCAAAAAAGAAGTTCCAAAACAAAGTCAATAATGAAAAAAAGTCACCAAATCTATGTGAAATCATGCATCATATTTATGTAACCTGTTTTCCATTTTCTGGAAGTGCTCGTTCACCCCATTTAATGTACCTTCTGGTCCCTCCTCACTACAAGCTGAATCATCTATAAAACTAATATTTCTATGCTCTTCGGACTCCGATTCTATTTCATGTTACATCCCACAAAATGAATTACCCCCATTCATCTATGCTGCCCGCTAATGCAGGCCTGTTCAAAGCCAAGCCTCTTCAAAAGAATGAAATTCATAATTCTACTCTACAACTAAGAAACTGACAACATTAACAGAGTCCATAAGGAATAAGAGTGTAAGAAAGATTAATTGAAATGAAAATTACCAAGATAATACAAAGCAAACCAGTGCCAGCCTCCAACTAGAATCAGGGATTCGAGGGCTTCTTCTACAACAAATACACCCAGTTGAAACATTTATGATGATTTGAGCGATCATAAGAGACAGAGCTGCAGTTAAACCAAGAGGTAGTGCAGGACTTCGAGGGTACACACATTGATCAGGAGGATCAGACATAACTTGAGAACTCTGCAGAAGTCACAGACCAGTATTTCAATGGTTTTTGTGGATGATGTAGAAATAGCAAAGCAAACGAACAATGCTAGAGTGAGCAAGTACAACATCAATAGCCAGCTTGATACAAAGTAAAAGGATTGCTCAACAAATATATTACTAGTCCTACCAGTATCACATTTGGTCAAAACCTTACCATCAAATTCCATGTCAGATACCTAGACTTGTTTTCACATTTCAGGACAGGAAAGGAGAGCATACTAAAAGCTGGAAGATAACATGATAAAGGGGAACAGAAAAGCATTAAATTCATAGTCAAAAACGGCAATTTAGGTCAGACTTGAAGGGTCCCTACTAGTCCATCCCTGTTTGAGACAGATAAATCAAAGTTTACTGAAGTTTGATGCGTGTTAGGGGAAAAAAGAAGACCTAACCTTAATAGTACAATTTCAAGGTGACATGGGGTTCCTGTCCCATATCCATGTAGAATATACATCGATAGAACTTCAATGGTACGATTCATTCTGAAATTTAATAATTCGCTTCCAAACCAGAAACCTACCTCGCTCCATCATTGCCATCCCCACTGATAGCACAACATATGTAAGGCAACATGGGATCCAATGCCGTACTAATCCCTCATGTACTGGTTTAGACATAATTTAGATAGTTCTTCAATTTGTTCGTTAAAGATGCCATTTTCAATTTGAATTTTTTTCCTCCAAAAGTCTAGACATCAGCACGGTCCTCATCTAACTTTTCATCCCATGAACACTAGATCTGTTTCTATTAAGAGGGGCTCTAGTTAATTGTTTAGACTGAAAAAAAAATGATGCTTTCACAACTTCTCAGAAGTACGAAAATTTAAGTTCTCTTCAGCCGTTCCAGCCACTGTCGGACAATAAAAAGCGAAAAAAGAACAATAGACAGTCCAAATCAAACCCTTAAAAGCACAACACAAAAAATCACCTTAATCCGAGTTCCCTCTGCCGCAAACCCAGTCGCAGCCGATAATATCCCCAAGAAACCCACGATACCGCAAACCACCAGAACCTTCCTCTCCATGTATATCTCTCTCTCGCCCCCTCTCTTTTTCTGTATCCAAGCGTCTCCTGGGGTTGCGTGGGCGAACTGGTGACGAAGAAGAAGGAAGGGTAAAGTTGATGGAGGCGTACAGAAGGGGAAATGGGCAATGTGAAGGGTGTGAGTGGACTCGTTTTTCGATAAACAAGAATCTAAATGGAAAAAGCAGTCAAAGCCCGTGTGATCCTGACAAACAAGAATCTAAATTGGAATTTAAAAATTAAGTTTCTTAATTTTTTCAAAACTTTTAATCAACTCAACCTTTCAATTATGATTTAGCGCGATTAATTTTTGACTTGCTTGTAATGTTTTTGACTTTATATTATTACCCTTCCATCAAGATAACTCCATACGACAAAAATACTCTTGCAAAAATGGTGGCCTTTCAATGTCGACTAGAAATAGTACATCTAGAAGCATTTGGGTGCTCAGCCTTTGCTCGAATGTTATGTTTGTTTTCATTAGAATGAGCTTTATTTTTATAGTTTTTTGGGCTACAATCAATTAATTGTAATATTATCTCTATCTCTGGTGTTTAATATTACATCTGATCCTTTGATATAGTATTAAACATTAGAGATATGTGTTATCTTATCTAAAATATCTTTACTAATAATATGTATTAATTAAAACTATTATTTGATGAAATTTTTAATATGATCAACTATTACAATGATTACTTTGAAAAACATAAATAAATATGAGAAACAAAGCAGATTGGGTTCTTATATTTAGGACTAAATTAAAAATCAAACTAGCTCTTATATTAAAGATTGGAGATAGTATAAAAATTAGATAAGTAATTTGAAAAAAATAAAAAAACTAGATTAAGTTGGTTATTTGTCACAAATATGTGTTAATCCATTTAAAATATCCTTTTCAGTTGTATGCATTAAGTGGTTATGATAATAATTCGGTGGGAACCCGTTACAATCATAAGAATATTTTAGAAAAAATGAGAGAAAAATTAAATTTAGATATTATATTTAGGACAAAATCTATCCCCTAACTAGTTTTTGCTCTTATATTAAAAATGGAAAGTAATATAAATTAAATTGGCTGTGGGCATATGTATCTTTATACCTAAAACCAAGCCAATATGAATTACATTTTTTAGGCGTACAGGGGAGAACACTATGCCTTAAGGAAACTAGAGAAAACATCTAACACTTCAATCAAATCTAATATTTATGCTAAATGCATTACAATTGCAAAAAAGATTGTTCCAAGTTAGAAATTGAAATTATATAAAACATCAAACTAACATTCAAATTATATAAAAAATGTTAAAAGCCCATCCTTTTTGCACCTTTCATTGCATAGTCAATGATGTTGATAATTATTATGGTGATAATAAATATAAAAAGGTGACTAAACTGGGTTTTCTTTATGATCAATTTGAATACACACGCTAGTCATAGAGTATGTTGACCTTGAATATGGTTGGATCATGAGATAGCTTAGAATGCCACAAAAATGAGGGTCACTTCAATAATAACTAGTGGTTAGTTGTCAATTTCCTATACTAAAAATATTAATTTTTCATTGACTACTGTCATATTAGAATTAACTTTAGCATATGAAATTAATAATTAATGTCTTGCAATTGACAATGCTAAGTTATGTACATAAAATATTTTGCATATATTTATTGAATAGGTTTATTGGTTTGGTGGTGATATTACTTCTTGGGATGTGGCGACTATGGGGAGAGAATTTTTTTTTTTAAATTCACTACGACAATTTGGTAATTGTTATTATAAACTTATCTTTAGGAATTTCATCGCCATTTGTCCATTTAGTTTTTTTTTTTGGTATTTACAATTGTATTGTGGGATCTCACTGTGCTTTTCCTGGTCCCTGTCCCCCTCCCCAAAAAAAAAAAAAAAACTATACTTTTCCTGGTCTATTTTTGTTATGTCAAACCACTTGCTGTCCTACATTTGTCAGATAAAACTAGTTTAAATTAAATAAAGTAGTCTAACAAAACTTTATATATTTCCTTAAATTATATTTAGATAAGAAAAATAAATGAATAAAAAATTTTATTCCAATTTTGACTTGCTCATATCATAGAACAAATTAATAGAGCACTCCCTCAGTTTTGAACCGTCCCAAGTCCCAACTATATATTAGACGGTGCAAAATTCAGTTTTTTTTATTGTATTTTCTATGACTTTCTGTTTTAATATATACAAAATGTAAAACAAAAATAACGCTCTACCTGCCACTTTTTTCCCCCCAAAAATTATCACTCAAAAATCAAATATTTCAAATTCAAACCATCCAATTTAAATTTAGAAAATCATGTAAGGGTCATCCTTAAAATGAGCTCCAAATTATTCTCAGTCCTATTTAATATGGAGTTCTTCATTTTTGTGGAAAAAGGGTTACTTGCAAATTCCTTCTGAGCAAAGGATCCAATTAAGCGCATGTAACCGTCTCCCGAGCAAAGGTCTATTTTTGTGTGAATTTCCATTACTTGTGCACAGTTCAACTTCAGTAAACTCAATCTGCAGAATTGCAGTACATATTTACTATAATGAATCATGATTCAGCTGTAACATCCAAACTGGAAGTTGCTTTTGTGATGCAAGCTCCTAGATGAAGAGACAAGTATATTTTGGAGCATTTTCAATAAAGGCAGTGATTGATAGAAGAAAACTTCACTGAAGACCATAAACAAGCAAAGCTCCTACTGCGCCTATACCAGCAACCAGTCCAATAATAACTCCAATTGGTGGCAAACCCCCACCAATAGCTCTCCCTGTGTTCACGTCATACCGAGCAAACCTCTTCTTCGGTGCCTGGCACTGGGGACATATGTAGGTGTCGGGCTGCAAAAGACAGACCAGATGTTATGGACATTTAAAACTCATACCTTGTGAATAGGTATAAATCAATGCAGATCTTATGTGTACAAAAGTGAAGGCATATAACATATTTGAGAAGAGACATAGAAAAGAGATTATGAGCATAAAGAAGGGATGCCGGTTTTCCCACAGTCACATTCTTTTACATCACTTTCTCTTCAAATATATAAATGCACGAATGTAACGGATTTAGAGAGGTTATGCTTCATTTTGTCTGATGGCAATTTATCAGCACATGAGAGAAACAATGAAAATGCAACCACCTAATGGGCAAACAGACTATATGAATACCATAATGAGAAGAAGAAGCAAACCATCTTGTGCTAGTTTTCTTTGAAGAAAATAAAATCATTTTTTTTTTACAGTGTTGTATGATTGATATGCCTTTCTGCTCTTACCTGCTCATCGAAAGGTTTCTGTAAAGTGTATATGTATCCACAATCAAGGCAAATGTGAGTAGCTCTAGCCTGCATGCATTGTGGGGCACCTTATTAGCCGTTGAATGTAAAACACGTGACAATGTAATCATGGGCCTAGAAGATAAATAGACTTGAAGAAGCAATAGTCATTACTTGCCTTTTGAGCCTCACTCAGTTTTCTTCCAAAGCGAGGAGGGGCAGGGCGTTTTGGAAGTCTTTTAACATCTACATCAGCACCTCTTCATTAAAAAAATTGAACATATTATAACTTAACTCATGATGACCACCAATAAGCATGACAAAATAACCAAGATTTCATGAAAATCACACAGCCATCAAAGCCCTAATATCTCAACCCTTCCCCGCCTTGCACATTCACATGTATGCTATGCATTTGATGCTGTTCCAACAAACTGATAGCATAATTAGTGTTGTAGAATCAGATTTCATTAAGAATATAAAGCGTCGCTTAGTGCATACCAAAAATTAATGCTGATCAGATTGAATAGTTACTTTTGCCCATGATGTTTTCATATTACTTGCCCCTTTCGTTAATTAAACTAGTTCCGCCAGAACTTGTCAAGCTATCTATAATACTGATTTTTCATTGTTTGTCCCAACCTAACCATGCTTCATTGGCATGATCACACACCATATGCATTATGAAACATACTCACAAAGCAAACCAGTTTTTCAGCATGCTACCAGGATTCGTCACACCAACTAGGAATTAAAGGAGGCATCAAATTACAAGATAAGTAGAAACTAGAATAAAGATTTTTATGAGCATAGGTTATAGACAACTTCAAGCTGTGTTCACGTGCATTTGCATATGCGTTAACTAATAGCAACTTAGTCTTCTAAGAATTGATGCATTTAAGCTTAAAAACACAAAAGGGCGGAATGAAAAAAACCTGCTGACAACAAAGTAGACAGAATCAGGCTTTGCTTGAATGGCAGTTTTTGTAAATCCAAGCTTATCAGCCGGCCACAGTTCATCCCCAAAGAAACTGCTAGTATACAGGACTTGGTCCCCTGCTTTCAACCCTGCTTTAGCTGCATTCCCACCACCATCCACACCCTAAAACAGACCACAAGTTTCCATTAACAACCTAAAAAACTAATATATATTGGCCAGTTTGGCATCACAAGGAAGAAGCATTTGTTTCTTATGACCATATTTTTCATTACTCAACAATGACTGTATTTTTTATATTTGCTTTACTCTAAGGACATTTGGCCAAAAGAAAAAAGAAATCTAAGAATACATGTATCATTTTTATCTATCTTCCAATCCTCTTTTCATTTTCATCCCTAACATTCGGCCTGTCAAAGGTGAGCATGTTTAAACTAAGCAGAATTCCAAAGGGCCAAAAGACAGGAAAGTTTTGAATTTTGAACCTAAATAAAAAAATTATCTAAACTAAATTTCGGTTCGCTATTCTCCCATTGAACATATGCTCTTGGAAACATTGATAAATTAAACACACAATCCTGTAACCAAATTAAAATTCCAAAGCAAAGTAGCTTTCACATGCAGTAAGAATTCTAACAGAAATCATCAAAGCCCTGTACAAAAGAACTGCATCAAGCTTTCACAATGCTGTTTGCTGTACATAATAAACTGGGGGAAGAATACCTTTGAGCAAATAATTGAATTGGGACAATCTGATGGCGACATGCAAAAGTAATCACCAAACTGGCTAAAATTTCCCATTAAAGAAAGAAAAGAAGAAAGTTACTCACGGTGATGACGACGCCGCCACCAGATTTCTGGCCCAAGGTGAGGCCAAGTGGCTTGTCGACGTCAACCTCAATCGTCTTCGCAGCCCCAGCAGCTCTAGCTGTGATCTCAAGCCTTCTTCTGGCAATGGCAGAACCTTTCGTGTTCTCACCCCCAAAGAAGGAATCTGAAACAACCCATTTGGCTTCACGAAGGGAAAGGCCCTGGAAAGACGTTTTCTGGAGAAGAGAACCAAGAAAATCGTAAATTCAAATGGGCAACAAGAAAATACTGCCGCATAGAAAAAGTGAACAGAATGAATAATACCTGTGGTTGAGATGAAGGATTAAGGAGAGACTTGGACTTGAAGTACTGAAGGAGCTGAGAATTTTTTGTGGAGTGGTGGTTGGAGCAGGAAGAGAAGGCGGCAGAGCACGAGGAAGAGGAAGCTGCTGCAACAACACCGGACATGGCTGATCTTGCGAGTGAGAGGGTTCAGAGTTGTGTGGATGAGAATCAAGTGAACCAATTTCCAAACGAACACTTGAGGGTAGCAAAATCAGAGGAAGGTGGTTCTTTTTTCCTCATGGTGGAAGATAATCTTTGATTGGTGGGGGATGACACCTCTGCGTGCCACGCGCCCTCAGCAAACATACGGCCGCCGCCAAGTCATTCCAATTATTTTAATGGGAAAATTGCAAACTAGGACCCTAACCCAATTTTTATTTTTTTTTGTTGGGTGTTGGGAAAAACACTTGGGGATTGGCTCAGGGTGTTTGAGAATATATAAAAGTGTTTTTTTAAATGTATTTTTTTAATAAAATGAGATAAACTATTTCATATATTTATTTCGTATATTGTAAAAATATTTTTAAAATCAAGGTTTGATTTCCCTCTAAACACTCCTTCAGTATGTTCTTTTTCAATAACAAAAGAGGGACCCCATGACTAACTATCCAATATCAAGGGAATTGTTACAATCCTTCACTCTACCACCAAGGATTAGTCCACTTAATGAGAAGTCATCTCATAACTTATAAAATCATAAGTTTAAATCTTATTGTTAATATGAAATCTTGTTAAAATTTGCTGAAGTATCATAAACGATATTAAAGTAGTGATGTAAATTCATCAGATAACACTTAACTAGATTTTGCGTTGATAATAAAAGAAAAAATTTTATATTACCAAAATGCAACTATTTAGCCCCCCTGTTCTTTCCTTATATTTTGAGGGCATATTCTTTCTCTTTTTCATTCCCACAAAATCTAGTTTAATATCATTTGGTGAGTTTGTCTCATCATTTTAATGTTGTTTATAAAGATTTTAACACTGTTTACACATCTAAAGACTAATGTTGAAGACAAACTAAATTTTAGAAATTAAAATCACATGTTTAAAATTTAAGAGACTAAAATTAAAATTAGCTCAAATTTTAGCGTCAAATTCCAAGGACTATGTTTAATTTGATTCTTGTAACCATATACGCTAATTTTAAATATATACTTCACAAATATAAAAATTTGATGTTCGTCCGTACACTAGGTAGGCAGGATACGGAACAAGGGCAATATATCCTCCATTTCCACGTCATTTTACATGGCGAATTTTATTGGCTATTTCTCAAATATTAAAAAAAATTAATCATTTGGTCCTTCAATTATTAGCTCATTTGTAATTAAGTCCTTCAATTATGACTTGTTATAACTCAATTTTTAAAAACTCAATTTTTAAATTTTTGACTCGCTTATAACTTAGTTCTTGAATTTTTCATATTTAATAATTTAATTCTTATCATACATAATTTATTTTTAAACATAAAATAGTTATCCTACATGACAAAAAATATACTTTAACAATATCAAAAGTTGCAAACACGTCATCCAAGTCAGCTTATATGCATTTGATGAATTTTTTTTAGATAAAAAAGAACCGTCTTGCCGACTCAACCCATCGTCATCTCCTTCTCCCTCACCTTTTGAGAACCATGTCCGCTTTTTCACTGCCATTCTCTAATCTCTTCTTCCTCCACGCTTTCTAGAGACAAACATGCTCTATCTTCTTCCTTGTTTCATTTCTTCCTCCCAGTGATTCTCACATCAGCCTGCAACGCTCTCGAATTTGAGCAACCCGCTGATTTAGGTGCATAACATTGTGGGGGTGTGACCAATTAAAATTTGTATATTTGCCACTGTGATTATAAAGGCCATAAAAAAAAAAAACAGTTGCATCATCCTTCAACCTCCTCATATACATAGCGGGAGGACAAATGCGTGGAGGGGGTTGTGAGGAAGAAATGAAACGAGGAAGAAGACAGAGCATGTGCGTCTCTGTGAGAAGAAAGGCGAGGACGATGTCGACCAGATGGTTTTTTTCTTTTTGGTAACAGACAAGATGGTTTTTTAATAGTGAAGTACATTATATCCTAGCGTTATGAAAGTTTTTAGAATTAAGTTAACACACTGTTTTTTAAAATTCATTTTAATTCCAAGAATTGTTTCATCAGAGTAGAACTAACAACAATTGCCTGTTTTTTTTAGCAAGCCAAAAAACATTGGTCAGATAGTGAAATATAATTTCAAAATTGATCATATTAATATCTTTCAGAATCATCTGAGCCAAATCAATGCGCAATATATCCAACGACATATGCCAATTAGAGAAAAGAAAACGGATGTTATGCAGGCAAAAATGTAAATAGTTTTTCGAGTTTGTTAATTAAACCTCTGGAGAGGATTCTCTCATCTTTTTGTTTTTTTGTTTTTAATCCCCTTTCTCTCCTCTTCTTTCAACATTTGAACGTCTATGTGTGTGTATATACACGTATGACTTGCAAAAAACTTATATTATTCAATAGAAATATACAAGTTATAGGACAACAACCGCATACACATACATACATTTATTACAATGGCAATTCTAACAGACATAATTAAATAAGATAGTCTAAAAAAATCAACATACATTTGTTACAAATAACTAATTTAACTAATTTATTTAATCTTTTCAAATTAATTATTTGGTTCTTATATTAAGGACCAACGGTAATATATAATTTTTCAACCACATTGACCAGCCTCAAATTAGATGCACCTATGCAACATCTGGAGAGGATTCTCTCATCTTCTTTTTTTTTATCCTCTTTCCCCTCCTCTTCCTTTCGATCAACATTTGGACGTGCATGTGTGTCTGTGTATAGATCTGTGTGTGTGTGTCTATATATATATATATATGACTTGCCAGAAACATATATTATTCAGTAGAAATATACAAGTAGTGGGATAATAACAGCAACATTTCATGGCCAAGGGTTTATTTTACATTTCTCTTGAAGATGCCTGGGCCATAAGTAGAATAAATCACATCAAGAAGAAGGGGAAATTGTAACAATACAAAGAGGGTTATTGGGACACTGGCAATAAGAATAACAGGAAGATAAGACCATGAGTATGTATGCTGGAATATAAGAATGATGCTTGAACAAAATGCTGCCATCATTGTTAAAATGGACAAGAAGAGTGTAGAAAGGCCTATGATCAATTTTTTTGGTAAGGATACGAGGAAGTCTATTTCAGCATAATGTGAGGTGAAAATCCCTAAAAATGTCAGCACAGAAGTTGTTGAGGAAAACAATGATAGTGCATCTGAGACCATGAAAAGTATAAATAACTTGTCTTTCAAAAACACTGGGTAGCCAGTATTTTGATCGTACTCTCCCGGAACAGTAAAAGCTGCTGCAAACATAACGGTAACAATCAAAGCACCAACAACAGAACAAGAAGATGCTGTATCCTTCATCCATTTTTCTCCTGCATCCCTTAAACCTTCGTGAGTTTTTTTGAATATGTCTTCTGGTTGTTCACCCTCCCAATTCTGAGATACCCTAAGTCCGGGAGGTACCAACCTTTCAACTTCCTGCATGCATTTGTTTCATAAAAATAATTATATATGCATGCATACATGGATGTATTTATATATATATATATATTCCAACCTTGAACCATTGCATTTCACTTTGCATCTGCAGAGCTGGACCACGGTGAGGTAGGGGGTTAGAAGGATTCAAGTTGGCTGCAACATGCAGCATGCAATTTCCGTCGTAGGTCTCTACCATTGATGCTACTAAATTCTTGAAGCGATACTCGTGGATTAGGCTGAAAACCTTAGCTTGACGATGTTTAATAGCAAAGAAGAAAGTATTCCAACTTGCGGGTTTTTTTTTGATACTTCAGACAAAAAATCAACAAGCCCTCCTTTGGCCGCAAAGTAGAGTGCTTTTGTAACCATTTCACGTTGTTGCTCATCCAAAAGACCCACCCTCCCGCTAAGTAATTTCAGAATTTGAGATGCTCGTGCATGCTTCAACTTCAGCGCATATATTTTCTTCACTCCTATATGTAGTTCACAACCCACGCGTAACTATCTCTAGGTTGTGTTTGAGGTTTACTACCCCGGTCCTTAATATAAGACCTTGTTTGATTTTTATTTTGGTCCCAAATATAAGACCTCAATCCACTTTGTCTATCATATTTATATTTTTTTTCCAAGTTAATCTTTCTAACAATGGTAGTTTTAACCAATACACTTAATTAGTAAGGATATTTTTGGAAAGATAACATCTATTTATTATAAATAACTAACTCAACTTCTTTTTTTAATCTCTTCAAATTAGTCAACTAGTTCTTATAATTAAAATCAGAGGCAGTATTTGATAACATACACATTAGGTATGAGATTTCTTAGCATACGATATGATATACCTAACAAAGTATAGACTTTGGAGATGAACCAGTGCAGCAGACCATGCCCTGTTGCAAGCAAAGTGTTAAAAATTCACATTTTACTTCATTTTTAAATCATTTAAGAGAATTTAGAAGTAAGCTTGGGTTTTTACACACATACGCTCTCTCTCTCTCTCTCTCTAAGTATACATACCTTGAATGCTTTTATCGTCACCTTCTTGGTGAATGTCTACATAAACATTATCGGTTGTTGTGGTTGATGGAACAGGTATAGCTTCCACCAAAAAAAAAAAAGACAACAGAAGCAAATTAAAAGAAAAATGAGCGTCATTAAAGGTAAAACGGAAAATGGATGGAAAGAAGCTCCCTTATTGACTTAGTTTAATAGTCTTTCCCATCTAAATATAGGAGAGGATGTTAGAGAAATGCAGAATTGAACTGGAGAAAATTTAAAAATACACTTCCTTTTTTTTTTGTCATTAAATTTTGTAAAATAA